GCCTCTGTACACATTCACACCCACATACAGACACACATACACGTGTATGCACACACAGACACACGCACATACATGCAGACACACACATGCACACACACACATGCACACACAGACACACGCACACACACATGCACACACAGACACACGCACACACATGCAGACAGACACCCACACCCACACACACAATAAATAAGAGTATTCTTCCCCTTCCTACAAAGCAAAGAGAAGCTGGTGTCAGCCCCCATGAGCGTGCTGTGGTCCAGTGGGCAGATCCAGAAGAGGACTGGCTTCTGAGGGGAACAAATGTACCCGCTGGCAGTCAGGCTACACCTGCATGCTGGGGGAAGGTGCTGTCCTTCAGCCTGAGCCTACCCCTCGGCTTGTCACCTGTGGGCACAAGCTGTCCCTCTTCCTAGGTAAATTCCCTAAGTAACCCAGCCAAAGCTGTTTAACAAGTCCCGAGGCTGCAGGTGTCAACAGCTCAGATGCCGGTGAAATCCCGTTTGCCTGAATGCTGTCTCCAGGGATGGCCCCTGTCAAACATTGCCTTGCCTCTCCTTTTTGTGCTTCTGCATTAATCTGCCAGCCTTGAGCTGTGTAGAGCCACCTTGGGGAAGCTGTGGGTGATCGTTAAACTGGGAGCTGTTCTTTGGTGGTGGCTCCAGAACCAAGCATGCTGCAGGCTGGCCACGTCAGGACAATCCCACGTTCCGTTTGCTCAGGTTAACTGCAGAGGACTTCTGGGGTAAGGAGGATGCAGCTAGTCTCCACTGGGACAGATGGTCATTAGGCACCATATATCAACTGAGCCCCCACCACTGGGAGATTCAGTCACTACAAAGAAAAAGCTCATTTCTTGTCTGTATGCAGCTTTACAAAATGGAGGTTTTGGTATAAACTTTGAACAAAACAAAACCGAGAAAAAAATGTTAGTACCTCGTAACAGTGCTGTCCAGGCCCCAGAAGCTTCACCTGGGAGCCAGCTGGAAAGAAAATGTGTGGACTGTACCTTCAGGCCTAATGAAGTTTATCAAAATCCCATCGTTAGCCTGTTCTGAGCCCACGTGATAGACGCCACGACAGCAAGGTGATGGCAGCCATCATTTCTAGTGCAGAGACCTTTAAAGCATTTAGTATATCAACTCACAAAGCCTCATGAACACCCTGAAATTGTCTCTATGGTAGTCCAGGAAACTGAAGCTCAGAGCAGTTAAGTAACCTGTCCGAGATCACTCAGCTAATGAGTGTGAAAGTCAGGATCTCAACTGAAGTACTCTACCTTCAGAATTGAAGAAGAATGCCTGCAACACATTTCTCTTATCTAACAGGCATGCCCATGGATCAAAACCTCCCCGTATCTTGTAAATACACTAGTTCTTGTTCATCAGTTTCTTTTTAAAGTGCTGAGATACGATGGATGGGCTATGATGTTGGTTAGACTCTGGATAAGGACGGTTTTCTCACTACCAGTTTGGTTTGTTTTGTCTGTAGACACAAATGTGAGGGTTATACAACGCTCTGTCCTTGTCTGGCACAGAACAGAGGCTGAGCAAATAACAATATCTCATGCCAGCCTCCCCCTCCTCCTCAGTGGTCCTTTCGGATCTTCACTAAGGACAGTTGGTCTCCCCACCTTCCTTCCTGCCCAGGCTGTTGCTGTGTTCCCAGAGCCTCTCCAGGCCAGGACCTGCATGAGGGTTTCAGATACTAAACTCAGAAGCATTAAGGGACAGCAAGAGAGCTTTTCTTGCAGATAGAGCCACTTCTGAGCTTCTGTGAGGACAGGCGTATGAACAATTTAGAGGAAAGAGTGCATGATCGTAGCTATCTATTTTGGTAGCCGTGGGATGGGATGTCGTTCCTATGTCAGGCTTGCCCTGGGTATCTCAGTTCCGACATCTAATCCACTGCTTGTACCTGTCCCATGAGCAATGTCTTTCCTCATGTTACAGATGACAAAGGAGATTTGAAGAGGCAAAATCACTTGTTCAAGTTCTCAGAACTGCAGAGCTGGGCTGTGATTCCTAGCTGCTACCCACCTGACTCACCAAGTGGTAGAATCTCCAGAAGATGAAAGTGATAAGGACTTTAAAAAAATGTTAACATCTACTTTGATTTTGAAAATTCAGCCAAGAAGGAACAGAAAGAATGAGATAAATGGCTTCGAAAAAATTTGGGACATGTAGATCATGTCTTTTTCAAGTGTGTCCTGGAAATTCTGCATTCCTTAGTGGGTCTCTTTAGACTTCCAGCTGCTCCAACCACACTGAATCTAGAAATAGACTCAAGGAGGGAAAATGACCGCTGATAAACACAGTAGATAATAGAACCGCACAATTGTATGGGCAGAGTCATGCAACAGTGTGTTATCAGGTCTTAGAAGTTTAGATCTGGTACAGTGCAGGGGGGGCGGAGCTGGCCACAGGTTATGAAGCCTCATTTACATGCAGACTATTGAGAAATCAGCTTCAGTGATCTTGGTGAGAGGGAAGTCCTGAAGCACAGCCAATGCAGCCCTGGCAGAAGGGAACAGAGAAATGAGATGTCACAGTGTAGCATAAGACATGTGCTGTAGAATGCTGTCCTCTGGGTCTAACGTGACTGCTGCTTCACTGAACCGTCAGTATCTGTGATTACCCTAAGGAAACCTGGAGAAGATTGGGCCATTAACTTTCTAACATGAGTGGAGGATGGCCTCACAAGACCCTGCTTCTTCCAAGATTAAGATTAAGAGCCAGTTAATAGTGTTGTTTGGAGGAGGGGATCATGATGGCTACACACCTCCCCATGTGTGTACGTGTGTGTGTGTGTGTGTGTGTGTGTGCTTGATTACACTCACTCTTACACTAAACTAGACATGTGTGGAATCTTTTCCCGGTCTATTGTTTGGTGCTGTATCTACATGTGTGACTAGATGGTGCTTCATCTGTCCAGGAACAGTCACACCTCAACATGCTGGCCAGTAGAATTCAAGAGCAGGTACAAGAATCCTAGTTTTCTAAAGCCCATGGGAGTGCCTTCCTTATAGACTAGAGACAGGAAGAGCAGCGGATTTGGGGATATGATGACTTCATTTCTAAGGTGATGTCAGTACTTTTCCCTAGGGACATGTTTAGTGGGCAGCTGTAATTGGATCAGTCCGTGCTTTCATGCTATAAGTCCGTGCTGACTTCTTGTGCACCTAGCACTTATCTTGGCCTTGGCTCTGGAGTGATGGGCCAACCACATGTTTAGTTCACCCCTGTGAAGCTCACAGGCATTGCACAAGCATGGGAATCTGTATGGGATCCCAGGGTACTGCACTGGGCAGGAAAGAACAAGGTGTTACAAGAAGAATTAGCTTGAGACTAGACAGTGGGAACCTGAAGGGGAGATTAGGGTGGGAAGAGGAGTTTCTGGAGCTAGCGGAGGCAGTGTTTGGCCAGGGAGGGAGACGCATCATCTACAGAGAGGCAAAAGCCACAGGTGATGTACGAGGGTAAACAAGGAATCTCAACACTGTCTAGGCACTGAAAAGCTTGGTACCACTGAGCTGAGCCTCCGAGGACCTATAGTCAAAGCGAGGTACTGGTGTGTCTGGCTAAGAGATTTTGGTCTGGGACCACGGATATTTCCACACCTCCCTGTGTGGGACTTGTCTGCACATGGGGATTGCCTAGGGGGTCCACTGATTTGGCCTGGAAAGTGAGAAACCTGGGTGACTCCTGACCCACCAGGTCAGGTGTTCAGATGACTGGATGCTGATAACTAAAACTCGAGAATGTTCCTATTGCCTGGCCAGTTTTCATCCTTTTGTTTGAACAGAACTCTGAGAGGTGGGAGGGTCTTAAGGGAGCCCACCGAGGCCCAAGCTACTGTGGTAGAGACAGCATCCACTGAGTCTTTAAGAACCACTTCAAAAGCCCAAGTCGGGAATCATTCAGATATGTGCGTTTGACCACCACAGCAACAATAGCCAAAGGGGCACTAATTGGACCCTGGTGTGTTCCAGGCACTGTTCGACTCACTTAAGCTTCCAACTGCCCTGTGAAGAATTTACTTTTTGCATCCCATTTTGCAGATGAAGAAACCAAGGTACACATGAAGGCATTTCCCCAAGGCCTCAGTTTTTAGTCAGTAGTGCCCGAGTTTGAGCCCAGGCAGTATATTTTAGAGCCCGTTCTACTAAGTGTGTCTCTGTAAGAATGGGGGTCATTTCCATAGTTTCCATTGTACTTAGGTCAAGGAAGGACTGTGTTAAGGTAGTGCCTGGTTCATGAACCTCGAGAAAAGACAGATGAGAAGGGAATAAGAGAGGGGACACGCCCAGGTAGCCTGTTCCTAAAAGCGGCTTCTAATCCCAGACCTCTGAGAGGGTAGGATTCCCCCAGAGGATCCTGGGGCTTAAAGGTATGAAGAATCTTGAGAAACTGTGTAATTTAGTTCCCCGGCGTGTGGATGGGAGGCTGAGGCCAGCAGAAACGGAGGGACACAGCCCAGAGCCCCTCACACTATTTTCTTCCCATAGGATTCCAGGCTACAGAGACAACTGAGAGACTTCCCTCAGGACAGCCTGGTATCCACTTCAGACTCGAGAGACCCTCTTCTGGCTGAGCAACTGCTCTGGTCCAACTGGGGCCCCAAGAGATCCATGAAGAAAGATGGAGACATCTAAGGAGGTGGCACCTCCAAACCATATTTTCAAAGACTGCACCCCAGACTGCACCCCAGTTCCTGCCTGTCTGAGATATTCATGTACACTATTGTGACCCAGGCCACTTTTATCCTGTACAGGACCAGGCACATATAAAACTATTTCCAAAACTGCACCAGGCTTGACGATGTCTCCCTGGGGCATGAAGTTCCTCTCCGGTCTTTTATGGGATAGGAGCAACCATTTCCTCCCATCCTCCCTCCATCACTCCCAAACCTCTCTTCATCTTAGAGGGCAATGCCAATCCATCACAAGGCTGGGGTGAGCCAAGAACTGTCTGTAACCTTGGAAACCAGGCAAGGCCTACCTTTCCACCTGGAGGTTGACCTTGGACGGTTCCACGTTGGGGTTTTCCCATTCCATTTGCGGGCAGTGCATGAAGTAGCAAAGTGTGTACAGGGCCTCCGGCTCCCAGTAGAGCGCCCCCTGCTTGTGGTGCAGGGGCGTGCCATTGCCGTGATGCTTCGCATTGAGAGGCTGCAGGTGGTGCATCGCCCGGGACACCAGGTCACCTGTGGACAGAAGCAAGATTTCAGAACCTCGCGTCACAGACACCAACCAGAAGATCTTAGCAGAGACTCTGGACCCCGGTTTCCTCAGCCACTACATCCCGTGACAGTCCCACGTCAAGCAGAAAGGGAAAAACATTTGCTGGTCATGTGACCGTCAGGGACTTTGAAGCACAGGAGTCAGTGGAATCGCTTGCAGTCCCGCTCTTCCGGGGCTCCAACTGCTTTTGCTCCCCTCTCACGCAGCCCAGATTGGCCTCAGAGTCACTATGTAGCTGAGGATAACTTGAACTTCTGATCCTGCCTCCATCTCCTGAGTGCTAGGACTACAGGCATGAGCTACCACACCCAGACTATGTGGTGTCCAGGAGCAAGCCCAGGGTTTCTTTGTGCATTCTGGGCTCCCTGCCTGTGGGATAATGATCTTGTGTGCTGTAAAGATTTGTCATTTGTATTGGTTTAATAACCTGTTTCCTTGCTGACCTCTGCTAGTACAATAACTCAGCTTTGAGAGGTATATTTTCACTTCTAGTCCACGAGAAGAGTCCCTTTGCTCTCTCACACACTTCCTGCCATGTTGCTGGTTCCTCAGCACAAAAATGGAATCAAGTGACCCCAGATCAGCAACTCAGAAACTTGGCCAGGGTGTCCTTTCCTTAGGTTTATTTCTTGAGTATTTTGTCACTGAGGTGTGTGTGCATACATGAATTTATGTTTTATTACATTTGTGCAGGTACCCACAGAGGCGAGAGAGCGCTGGATCTCCCGGAGCTGGACTTACAGGTGGCTGTGAATCACCTGGTGTGGGTTCTGGGAGCTGAACCCACGTCCTCCGAGGCATCTCTCTAGCACCCAATATACTTAAAGTCTCTTTATGGTGAAGAAATGGAAGTCCAAAAGGTTCCACAGCTTCTCAAGGTTGTATAGCTATAAAATACGAAAGAGGAGAGGTGGGATTTGAACTTAGGACTCTGCACAGAATCCACGCTCCTAGCCACAGTCTTTGAACACAGGGGGTTGTTTCATCCTTCTCAGGACCAGCAAACCTGAGGAACATGCTGTTCTTTTTTTTCTTCTTCCTCAGAGGGACAGCATACTTTTTACATTAATCTTTGTTTTTAATTACGTGTATGCATGTGTGCACGAGTGTGGGTTTGTGCATGTAAGTGTGGTATCCACAGAGGCCAGAAGAGGGAATCAGTTCTGCCCGGAACTCCAGTTCCAGGGGATTGTGAGCTTCCTGTTGTGGGAGCCGGTAACTGAACTCCACTCTGTAAGAGTAGTAGGACCTTTTCATTGCTGAGCCATCTCTCCATCCTCAAACAAGACTTCTTAATGAAGCCACAACTGCACGTTCTCATGGGTCACAGGGCAGATCTTCTTGGGGGTGGCCGACTGAGCTCAGAAACCCACCCTTGTCCTGGCCGAGACAATGGTTCCATCGTTCACGAATACTGCCCTGCCAAAGCAAGCACAGTCTTCGTGGCTACTTGCTCAATTTTAAATGTACTCATTTTGTCTTATTTAAATACATCCATGTAATGAGGAAAATTATGCCACTTTCACAAATAGAATATGAACATCACTTGCCATAAATAGAAAGCAAATGATGAGGACAGCTCAAATTTGGGTTCTGCTTTCTTCTTAAATGAATAACAAGTATCAGAAAAAAAGGGGTTGGGGCCCATATCAAACAGAGCCTTTCTTAAGTAATTAAGGTAAAAGCATGTGATACATGTATTTTAATGCCCTTCCCCTGGCCACTTAAGTCATCTCGGGTACAACGGAGTGTGTTGCACATCTTTGGAGCCGCTTGTGCAAGATGCTAAATGATTAGTGTTACGTGTCAACTGGGCTGGGCTGTGGAGCTGAGTTGCTATATCAGACATTGTCTAGACATATCTTTGGGATAGTTTTAGGATCATTTTACTGAGAGTAGGTTCTGAGTACAGAAGCGGAACACCTGTGATGTAGATGGGCCTTGGCTAATTGGTTGAAGACCTGAGGGAAAACTGAGGGTGGAGAGATGGCTCAGCAGTGAAAAGCAGGCACTGCTCTTCCAGAGGACCTGAGAGCAGTTCCCAGCATGCACATCCGGCTGCTCAAGGCTGCATTAACTCCAGAATGTCTGAGGCCCTCTTCTGGTCTCTATGGTTACCCCACATATGAGACATGGCAGGCAGGCAGGCAGACGGACAGACACACAAGTAAACATAAATAAAAAAAAAAGTGGAATCCCCCCCCAAAAGGAATTCTGACTCCAGGCTGCAGCATTAGCTTTGATTAGAATCCCAGTCTGCTGGGCTGCCTTGAAAGGGCTGGTCCTGCCGCTCACACTCATACCAGTCAAATCTTTCAAGTCTCCATTGTCTCTTCTACTCTTCCTTTGTCCTTTGAAACATAGTATTACTTTGTATCTTACTTACTTTATAGCCTTGAACTCACTGTGTAGCTCGGGCTTGATAGGACTTATGGGAATCCTCCTGCCTCAGCCTCTCTCAAGTGCTGAGATTATGTGATTTATTCTCTCTCTCTTCCTCTCCCTCCCCCCTCTACCTCCCTCCCTCTCCCTCTCTCTTTCTCCCTCCCTCCCCACCAACACAATGTCTGTGCTAGTGTCTCCCTTCCCATCCTGCATTGCTGCATTGTGTGGTCAAACCCACCATCCTGCTGCCTCTCAGTGACACACTTTAACCGAACTCAAAACCCAGGAACACAAACCATATGATATCTAGTGGGCTGAGGTGAGGGGCCCTGCTGAACCATCCTGTGCATGGGTGGGTCACCTGTTACAGCAAACACTCTAGTCCCGAAGGTCCACACTGCTGAGATGGGAAACCGAGGCCCATGTTGCAGGGCAAGGTGGGGTCAGATAAGGTTCCCTGTGTTAAGGTAGTGTGCTTCTGTCTTTCTCTCTACAGTGGTCCAATTTCCTCCTCCAAAGGCAGTCCAGTTCAACTGGCCGGCCCTCAGTCCCTCTTAGAGCAATTTGGCTTTTTGCAGCAAATGTATTATCAAATGCTCCAGTCCCCTGAGTCAGTAATCCACTTCTGGGAACGTGTCCCAGTGTTAGAATTCAAAATGCTGCAGAATCTTCGCCCATGAGGATTGGCACCTAGACCTTATTTACAGACTCCCAAATCCAACAAACAAATGTCCAAAAATAAGAAGAAGAAAACTCTAGCACACACACAAGATCAAATAATAAACGGAGGCAGACGTCAAAACTGTTTACACAAAACTGTAATATTGCGAGGAGGAATCTTCATTAAAATGGTAAGTAGGGGAAGTACGAACTTCAAAATTACTTACAGTGTGATCAGGATTATGTTATTAAAAAGTATGCACAAGGTAAATATCAGGAGAAGGAGAAGGAATGTTGACCAAGGATTTTTCTCCCTGGAGGGATTATTGGCGTTCTCTAAATTTCTGTAGTTTCTGAACTTTGATTTCTGGCACCTAGGGGTAGATATTTCCTTTCCTGTGCTTCTGTCCAGGGTCAGACTAGAATATTCTTTCTCTCAAATGCTCTCAGGAGGGAAGAGCTCATGGGGCCCTGAAGACTGACACACAGTTGGTGGCTGCTAGGGGGAGGGAGAGAGGTTGTTAGCATTAATTGTCAACTTGACAAAATGTAGAATCAGTCGGGAGAAGGGCTCTCTGGCGTGGATTCTGGGATCATCCTGGTTATGTTAGTTGATGGGAGACCTACCTACCCACTGCAGGTGGCAGAGGGTCCTAGACTGTGGAAGAGCTAGCAACCAGGCATGAATTCATGGCTCTTTGCTCTTGACTGTGGATGGAATGTGACTTGAGGCTTCAAGCTCCTGTCACCTTGATGGCCCCACAGCAGACTGTTACCTGGAACTGTGAGCCAATTAAACCCTTTATTCCTTGTTTCTTAAAGTTTTTTTTTTTTTTGTAATCACAGCACAGGAATCATGAGAGAGGCACTGGAGCGGATAGTAGGGGATGAATAATATCAAAATATATTATTTACATGTGTGAAGATGTCATAATGAAACCTCTTACATATTAATATGTATTAATAAAACGTAAGAAGAAATTTGCACGAAACACTTCACAATGATAAAAATCAAAAGTGAGTGGGAAATGGGGCTAGTGACAGCGATGGCAGAGATGGCGAAATGCTGGCAGGAGTTCCCAGTTGCCCGTCAACTTCCCGTGTTCTAGGGGCACTGGGAGGGCTGGTGGGTGGGTGCTCTTAGCCTTGTAGTCTCACTGTCCCCTCATCTTCTCGGGAACCACTTGGTCCACCTGGCATTCCCAGGTTCCTGTTTCATTGATTTCTTAACTTGGATGATTGCCCCTACACCCTACAGCTACTGATGGCTGATCAAATGGTGCAGCTTCCAGGGAGCACTCTAAAGTGCCCTGGTCAGAATCTCATTTCCTTGCATACCAGCAACACTCCCTAATAAAGATGTAGCTGCTTAATTTTGTAGTGCTTTACAGTTAACTATCCACATGCATGCTTCTTTGTGGGGACCCAATAAACTCTATCTATTGCTCTCTTTTGGGGAACAGTATGGTATGTCCTTTGCCTGCATCTCAGCACCCAATATGCTGCTATTTAGTGGTGGCTCTAGACAAGCTAATTTATTTTTCTGTGAGACATGAAAATAATGGCAGAATGAATTTGTTATGTATTTTAATGGAAAAAACACATATAAATTACCCAAATTGACATTCTTGTCTGCAAAATGGAGATAATAACAATATTTATCTCATAGAATTAAATGAGGAAATACATATACACACTTACAGTACTCAGAAAAGGGTCTGGTACCTTGTTTGTGCTTAATTAGTATTTAGTTCTATTCTTTTTTGCACCACCATTATCATTACCAACATTATTGATAGCATCACCACCACATCATTTCCATCATCACTACACATTTCCATCCTCACCAACATCAGCGATATCATTATCATATCATTTCTGTAGTCACCACAGTCATTGTTACCAACATGATCACCAT